ATACAAATATAATAAGCATATCAAAAAAGAAAACTAAAAAAAACTACATCAAAATGTTCTACAGAAAATTGTTCTACTGTTTTCAAAAAATGCTTTTTAAAAATCAAAATACGTACTTGGCATCACCAAGGGTTAGATCAAGCAACTTCGTTTGTCTACCATTCTTTGTTAGGGCCTTTGGGGTTGACATGGAAGTTACCTTGCCGATAACATATATAAGAGATTATAAATTAATGAATAAGTTTAGTTCAAAATTCAATAAAAGAAAATGTATTTTTATTAAAAAAATCACATATGGCATAGGTTTCGTCAATAACTTTAGCATCTTGTAAGGTAGCAATAGATATGAAGTCAAACATTCTCATTGGAAAACTAAGGTCTGAGATTTGAAAGGCTTCAGTTTGGTTGATAAATAACAACTTCAATTCATTCATTGTTGTCATGAACTTCATATAGTTATGTAGCACCAAGACTTGTCTGATAGCATAAACATTTCCTTCAATTCCTTAAACAGGTGCTCAAACTTTGCAACCTCTGATTTTGCAATGTGTGCATGTATTTTGTTTCTCCGTGTATAAAGAGTTGTTAGTTCTTATAGTAACATACTTGATGAATTAGAAACCAATCTGGAAAGTTAAGTAAATACCTCAGCGTCATGGAAAATGCACTGCAAAGATTCACTGTAACTGCCATGGGCAGGGACGCTATAGACACGAACAGCTCGGGCCTTGAATGCCCAAGTTGTTTTTGATTGGTGGAACTCGTTTATTAAGGACCACATGCCCATGGTTTTTATATTGGATAATTGTTAGATGTGAAATGAAGGATTGAATGGTGGAATATGAGTGCAAGTGAGTCTATTTATAGGGAACCTTTCCTGCACTATGTATTCACATTATAGAGACATATATTTGTGTGTATTTGTTTTCTGTAAAAGTTGGCCACAATGTGTAAGGAATAAATGTATTTAGATTTTGATGATGCTAGGCTAATTAGAGTGTTAAAGTACCCCATTAGATTTTTGTATTAGAACTTTTTCTAAGTGGATGTTATAGCTTATTCGACGGGACAGAGAACCTCAAGGGTTTCTGTCTGGACCAGAGTTGCAACAGAGATAGAAGACCAAGATACCAACAGAACTGCTCTCTGCTGACACTAACAGAAGTGCTCAACACTTGGAAGATTTCGAAGGAACTTCCGATAGTCGTGAAACTAACGGGAAATTCCCTAACGGCTAGGAGTCTCTCAACGGAAAATGGTATTGTTCATGTATTAAATGCACATTTAATGTGGATTGTACGTTGAGATATTTAAAACTGATGATTGACTATGTGGATATCCCTTCGCCCCCTGACGAGCACTTTGTCACGGTGCGTCAAAATAAATCGATACTAACACTTATACGTAGTATAGGTGAAGTAGAGTTCGTATCCACATGGAAAGGAATAACTATCTTTTTAATGAAATAAGTAAATAAAGGGGGGGATTTGGATTGAATAATTTAATTTAACAAGAACTAAGATGAACAACCTATATGTGTTTTAATTCAAGGATAAAAGGACTTGGCTTTGCTACTTTCCACTTGTTGATATATTTTAGTCGATCCTTGTTATATCTATAACTTATCCCCTCTCGAATACTCAATCGAGGAGTATCTCCAATTCATCGAGGATAGTTATTAACAACGACAGTTCATTAATAACCCTTACTATTAATCAAATATAGAACAACGCCGTATACCGATATAATAGTAGCATTCAATCTTTTTAACTCCTTGATGAAATCAATTGAGATTGATAACCTCAACACAACAGTTTCGGTTTAACCAACAAAATTAATCCCTCTTAAGTCTATTAACCACGACCGTGCATTAATAAACCGAAGTTACTTACTTGTGAAACCACCAACGATTAACCATCGGTTCGTTGATCATTTCTAGTAGTAATTAATGTCGGAACGTTAACTAATCGTCACTTAGCAACCCTCCAACATTAATATAGAATGAGATTAAGGGAAGAATTAATAATCAAGAGAAGAAGTTAAGAAAATAACTCACAACTTTAATAATCAACAAGCTTCAAGAGCAAAACCAAGAAATGGAAGTTTAGCTCCTCATTTGAAGACTAAACATGCTATAAAAATATAAGAAATGCTATTCTAAACTGAGCTTAGGAGTATAGAAGAAAGGATGATTAAAGTGAAGGAAAATGAGGCTATTTATAGGTGTTTTACAACACCTTTGGCCGGGTACCCGACCGAGTAAAGTGCCCACCCGACCGGGTGCATATCAAAATCAAATATCCTCCACGTTTTGGTGATCTTCGGCATGTTAAAGTGTCCCGGGTCAAGTCAGACCCGACCGGGTGGGGTAGGGGACCCGACCGGGTGAGTGCAATTTCCAGGCACTTACGGTTGTTAATCAGACCCGAACGGGTTCAGGGTCTGACTCGGCCGGGTTTTGTGCTCCTGACCCTTTTTTGTCATCAGCTTTTCTCCCCTTTTTCTTGCTAAAAACTTCTACCACTATTCTACAACTATAAATGGAAGCTAAAAACAATTACAAACAAAGTTAAACAAATGTCTACAACTGCATACAAATGGTAAAGAATCCACACAAATCAAATATAAAAACAAACATTTATGCACTACTAATTAGTGCATATCATCCCCAAAAATAGCAAGTTGATTATCCAAGCGGTCAAATCAACAGTACAAGCATTAAATGAAGCTGTCTTCTACACTCCAACGGGAAGACTGCTCCCAGTATATAAGATACACTTCGAGGGATTGGAAAAACAACGATTCATATATCTCTAAGTGCAAACATTCAAACGCTCATAGACTTCAACCTCTATCCCTTTCGAGCAACATATCAAAACGTTGGAAAAGATTATAAACTTCATATCTTTCTTTCCAACACGAGAGAATCGTTCTTTCAGTTCTTCAACACTTGTAAAGCCTCAACTACACATCTTTTGTGACGAAGCTATGTTGGAGAAAACAGTTCTTAACTGAAAACACTTCTTGCAAAAGAAGGGACGTCTCAAACTAGCTAGAGTAGTGAAGTGAGGATACTTCAAGAGACTCAGTGAAACGAGAGCAGTCATCAGGAAGCCACATGCCGGGTGACAACTAGACTTGAAGAAGACATGGAGTGCTTCTTAAGTTCTAGGGATTAAGGCATTGTAACAGTTAACTTACAAGCTTAGTGGAACAGTGGACTAGAGGAACATATTGTTCCTTGAACCACTATAAAAATCTCTGATGTCATTTACTTTACGCTTTTACTTTCTGTACTTAGACTCTTACTGCTTAACTCAAGAGGTTTGGATTCTGTGTTCAGCAAAACTCCTTTCGAGTTAACAGAAAGGCATTTGCCTTAGTGTTTTCTCGAGCCTACCCGGACAGAACTCTTATCCGCTGCCAGCTATAGTTCTGCCAACATAACTTGACCTTTTCTGTCAACCTAACCAGACCTTCTCTGTTAAGTCATTTGTGACTTTGAGAAAAAGTTTGTAAATCCTGAACAGTCTATTCACCCCCCCTCTAGACTGTTCCACGTTAAAACGTGACCAACACAATGAGCTGTCAAACACTCTTCATTGTAGGACTAATAATATCTAGGAAATAGGTTATGTCTAAGAATGTGTTTTATAATTTTACTTTATATTTTATATGGATTAATGAGAATACTTTCTTGATTTCATAGGCCCAAACTTGTAATGATTCCTCAAAGATGTCATTACCATCACAAAAATGTACCGTTTCAGATTTTTTGTATAACTATTATATCAGATTTAAGGCCAACTATGAAACATATTACCAGCTATATTACTAAATACTCTACTTTAAATTATATCAGTAATGAAACAATTTGTTTAACTATTCATTTTTAATTTTGAATAGTGTAATCTGTTTGTATAGTGTTGTACTAAAGTCGTGCACCGATTTAGCACTCTATATCAGTAATAAATTCAGTTTGTATGACTCTATTATTGAAGTATTATTTCAGTAAATGCACCCGACATATAATATCACTTTATGTAGGATTAATATTATCTAGGACATAGGTTATATCTAGGAATGTAGCATGTATTTTATAATTTTATTTTGTATTTTATATGAGTAATGAGATACTTTCTTAACATCATAGGCTAAAAATTGTCATTATTCCTCAGATGTGGAAAGCTGCCCAAAAAGACATCAACTACCAATTTTAATGGGGAGTAGAAGATGTCATTACGATCACAAAACGATACCTGGACGGGAGTTTTTTTGAGCAATTGCAACCACAAACCTTTTCATTGAATTGTCTGTCAATAAGAGTGTAACATCAAATCGGAATGTTCACAATTTTCATCATATATTAATGTTGTGTAATTTTCCAGGAGAGACATTTTTGTAATTTTCAATCATACACTTTCTTTCCTAGAGATAGTTAGGTGGGAACATTGTTGAGAAAATAGTGTCAAAAATATTTTGCTTTTATATAATGATAAATTAGTACGTATAAAATATCTATGTACTCAAATGGACAAATATATAATATCTATGTATATATGCAAATACGTACACATGTACGTACATATATAAAATCACATAAATACAAAAAAACACATGCCACTACCCAACAATTCACATTGTATGCCTTTCATATTTTACACTTAAATTTTAAATGAAAGCCATGCATTTACAAGTTACAACGTACGGCAAACCTGAAATCTGTTACTTAATTTCGTATTTTACTTTGTTTAAAAGTAAAATTAAAAGGTTAATGCTTGGAGAAAGCTGCAGCCACCATCGGGATTCGGGAACCATATATAAGTTTAGAAAGTTGGGAGACCAAACCAACCATTCCAGTTCACTAGGTGGAAGGTTATCGTGTCCTAACGGAGGTCTCGGGTTCGAATCCCGTTAGACACATTTAGAGGTAACGAGGGAGGTCTTGCTCCCAATGATTCTTCCTACCTTCACGGAGTTGCTCAGCGGCTGAGAAGGGAGAGGATGGTAATGAAGGTAGCGGGTTCGTGTGGTGGGAGGAGCAACCTGAAAGGTGATGTAAGTCCTGCTGGATTCGTCCTTTGGAGTCAATACTGACGAGGCTGACTGTGATCAGATCCGGACTTAACTGTCTAGGGGCTTTGGAGGATAGTTCATAGACTCCAGGATTATGGGAGCGTAAGCCCTGACATCTGGATTATCAAACAACAACAACATCCAAGCCTTAGTCCCAAAAGATAAGCTATTATGAAAAGATAATACAAAAAAGATGAATATATATATAAATGATAAAATAAAAAGGCTGCCAATAATGCTTTTATATATATAAGGATAAAAAAAACTAGGAAAAAAAAAAGATGAGGGAAAAAGATTATCTCATTATTCAATAGGTGTTACTCCCACCCTTTGTCTGATTGTCTCATTCCTCACACGGTCCTTCCTTATTGCTGTCCTATAAAATTTACCCTTCAGTCTAGTCGGAATACCTCGGTCGCATAGAAATCCTGACGCACTCTTCCACTTCATCCACCCTGTTCTGATTCTATGGGATACATCTCCATCTAACTCACCGTCCTTCTGAATTATGGAGCCCAAGTAATGGAACATATCGCTGACTGGTATCTCCTTACCATCCAGAGTAATTCCGCTATTACCACTACTTCTACCTCCACCAAACTTGCACTCCATGTACTCTGTCTTGCTCCGACTTAGTTTGAAACCCTTATTGCTCCACCTGGATTATCAAAAAAAAAGTTGGGAGACCAACCTAGAAGTGTGAGAATAATCTCAAATAATCAAGATTTATAATTTGATCCCAGACTTTTTCCCAAAATAATCTCAAATAATCTCAACTTCTCAACCATAATCTCAAAAATATCATCCACATCATCAAAATGATCTCCTAAAAAACTAATGGGTGAGGGTGCCCCCTTTGAACTTTATTCAGATTATGGTTGTCAGAATCAGTTGTTCATCCTCTATAGGTTGATGCTAAGAGCATCCACGTTCATGCTACTTAAGTAAACAAATTTTTAATGACACGTAGATTGACACGTAGATTTTTTCAAAATAATCTCACACTTTCTAAATTACACCATTCATCATTTCAAAATAATTAGATCTTTTGTGGGTCCCACACTCACAAATTAATACTAGATGCAAAATAATCTTGAGATAATCTGGATTCATATTTCAATATAATCCAGGATTATTTTATCAAATAATCTCACGAAATAATTTTTATAACTCAATCATGATCCCCAAAATAATCTGCCACATTAACACCTTAATCCTAAAATAATCCTTTGAATGGAGATGCCCTAAGTAAATGTTTGAATTAATTGAATGTATTACTACCTCCGTCCCTTAAAACTTTGTCAAATTTGACCGGCACAAGGATTAATAAAGTAAAAACTGTATGGTTGAGGTTTGTGCAAAGGAGGGAAAATTAACTGGAACCACAAATTCTTTACTTAAAAGGGAAAGTGACAAAGTTAGTGGGACATACAAAAAAGAAAGTTGACAAAATTTTAAAAAACGGAGAGAGTACGATTTAGGTTGTGATGAACTGATATGGACTAAATATGGAGAGAATTTTAAAAAAGGAGTTTGAAGTGCTATTACAACGACCTTAGGGACAAAAAACAAATACAAAATTTATTACGGAGTAATAAACTCCAACGAGATATAACCAGTTTTCAATGCTTTTACGTCTCTCTCGGGCTCAATCTTGCATCTAAAAATCTCCCTGAATTGCAAAATCAATCAACTAACGTCGAGCGGGCGGGTCTCTCATTTTCCGTTTAACCCTTCTCCTTGATCGCCATGAATCCTGAGTAGTATGTTGTTTTATCAATCTTTTTTCCGCTTTTATTATTACTCTGTATTATTTATTTTCCTGGCTATGTTTTCTTTCCTTCGATATGGTTTGGAAGTAATATCTCTGTTTTTTGGTGTTGAATTTATTACTTTTCACATGAATTTATTTGCACACTCAAGTTTAGCTATTTTGTAAGTAAAAATCCTATCTTTGTGCTAGTTCTCGATCTACACCATGATGAAGTATTGACCGGATCTGTTCCTGTTATCTTATTACCCAGCTATGATTATCTGAATATGTGTACACTTGTGCATATGCTATGAGATTGAAAGGTTAACTATGCTGAAGTATTGGTATTGGATTTCTAGCGCGAAGGAGAAGTCTGTTTGATATGCAGTCTCTAGGCATAAGGAAATTGACTTGGTATTATTGTATGATCATTCTTTTAAATGGTCCGAGTCATCGGACAGTTCATATGCTCGATGAATGAGCTTAATAAATGTATTTTGGTATTTAAATGCAACTGCGTAAAAGTTTTAGATATCTGAGTCAATTAATATGAGTTAATAACTTCTGATGTTTCTAAAAAATGTTTTACTACTGCTTCCATTTCACTATAGTTGTCAGTTTACTATCTGTGTTTTTACTTTTTTAGAAAGTTAAGTGAAACACAAATCAGCGGATATTCAACATGACTAACGGCCACACTTTTTGCGTGTGTGTGTGTTCAAACTAAGTAGATGCATTTTACCTTGAACTAAAATTTGAATGCTGAAGCACCTTTCTGCCGATTCTTTAAAAAGTAAACTGTAGCTTTTTGTGATAATTCCTGATTTTTAGATCATTCATCATTTTCATTTACCCCAGTGCCGCAAAGGCTTCCACCTACGGTGGGGTAAGGGGGATCGGATGTACGCAGTCTTACCCCTGTACTAAATCACAGAGAGACTGTTTCCGGATGACCCATAGTGAAAATCTCATCCAAAATTGCATGGATTGACTGCTGCTCCATAACAAAGAAGCGCGGACAGTTTAGTGAGCCATTTTGCTTTATTCCATCATAATCTCAAGCCAAAAAATAATGAATCTTTGGCTTCATTGCTAATGATGGAAATAATTCCTGATTTTTAGATATTGAGGGTAAATTTGCACAAGTCATAAGAGCTTCGAACTAATACGATATTTCCCCCCTTACAACTTTACGGCTCTGCTAACTCTTTGCATCTATTTCTCCATGCAGTGATTATTTGTTCAAACTTTTGCTAATTGGAGATTCTGGTGTTGGGAAATCATGTCTTCTTCTGAGATTTTCTGTAAGTGGATATTATATGTACTCCTGTGTATGCTGGACAACTATTTAGGTTGTGCTTACTTATGCCTGCTGAATTTAGATGAGGATCAACGTCTTGATGAGCTTGTGAATAAACTTGATGATTCTCCCATTTTCTTTTCCTACCATCATTCAATCCTGCGGTTTTGATAAATGACATTCTAGGAAGAGTGTCTAGTCGTTGCTGAACGCTGACTCATTTTAAGAAGGCTGCCCAGTTTCCAGTAGTGGCTGTTATAGTTTGGGAATATAAATGATGTCTAAATATAGTCACAAAACTGAGACTGTTTAATTTATTTTGTTAGGATGACACATACATGGAGAGCTATATAAGCACCATTGGAGTTGACTTTGTAAGTAAGTTGTGTTATAACTGTAACTCCACAAATCTTTTCATTATAGTGTAACTATAAGTTTTTATCCAATTCCCGCCCTACAGCCTTCCAGGAAGGGTGGGTCCGGGTAAGTAGAACCAAGAACGAAGGTGAACAAAGGGTAAAATTCACTGCTTGTTCTTCCTTGTAGAAAATCCGCACTGTGGAGCAAGATGGGAAAACACTGAAGCTTCAAATTGTGAGATTCTCTATGGGCTAAAGCTTGAGTTCTTTTATTTGACCGTTTCCTCGTACTTTTTTGGAAAATCTATCTTCTTAAATCTTATTTAAGTTGCGGCATTGGTTCTTTGTCAATATCTAGTGGGATACTGCCGGACAAGAACGATTTAGGACTATTACTAGCAGCTACTATCGCGGAGCTCATGGCATAATTGTGAGTGTCTTCCTGCAAAATTCTTATTCTCCTTAGTTTTAAACAATTGGCAAATTAGTTGGTCTGTAGGGGTAGACAAGATATTTAATATAGCGAATATTTAAAGTTTTGCCTTTAAATACAAAAACAAGTATACCATACAGGCGCACACACACAGGGATAGTATCAGCTGATAAACTCTGACCTGCGAAATATTACTTATATTAACATAAACTTAATTGTTTTGACAAAAAAACAAAAAGTTTTTTTGGAATGCCAGTAGTTTTTTATAAAAAAAAAACAAAAAGGTTTTTTATTGGAGCCAAAGATTCACTATTTTTGACTAGGGAATATGATGGAATAAAGCAAAATGGCTCACTAAACTGGCTGCGCTTCTTTGATATGAAGCAGCAGTCAGTTCATGAAAATTTCGACGCTATTTTCACCATGGATCATCCGGAAACATTTTCTCCGTGCTAAATAGGGGTAAGGCTGCGTGCATCCGACTCCCCTTACCCATCATAGGTGGGAACCTTTGTGCCACTAGGGTAATGATGATGATGATGCCGCTAGTTTTTTGTAGTAAAAACGTTGATTAGAAGTCAGACTTTTTGTGTTAGGTGTTATGTTTTTTTACAATTAGTTATATTTCGGAGGTGAGAAACAAATATTTATTTCTCACATGATCCTTTTTCTATATATTTAAATTTATATATTTACTTTTGTACGGGGTACTTCATCATCATTACCCCGTGCCGCAAAGGCTCCCACCTATGGTGGGGTAAGGGGGGGTCGGATGTACGAAGTCTTACCCCTGTACGGGGTACTTATATGTAAGTAAATGCTTTCAGGGTATAGTTATAAGTAAATGCTTTCGCATGCGCTACCCAGGCCATAGTGTTGATCTGCCAATGTAATACGTAAAGAGCTGATAACTCATATACATGGATTGAATGATAGGTTGTATATGATGTCACGGATCAGGAAAGCTTCAAGAATGTTAAGCAATGGCTAAGTGAAATTGATCGATATGCCAGTGACAATGTCAACAAACTTCTTGTTGGCAACAAATGTGATCTTGCTGATAAGAGAGCTGTGCCGTATGACACAGCTAAGGTGCTTGTTGATTATAATAGACATAAATCGGGTTTCTTTTAAGACTGTACTGAGGCATTTTTTCTTTGGATGAAAGTATATTTACTGTGCTTTCTCTCATTATACAGGCATTTGCTGATGAAATAGGTATTCCTTTTTTGGAAACTAGCGCAAAAAATGCTACTAATGTAGAGAGTGCTTTTATGGCTATGTCTGCTGCAATTAAGGAAAGGTAAGATGTGCTTACTGTATACTACATACGATAGTATATTAGAACAGCACCGAAATCCATGCATTTCCCTGAAGTGTTTTTAGTTTCATTTCATCTGTATATATGAGTTATGTATGAAATGATTTTTAGAACTTTGGTATAAGAGCTTTCTGAAACAAGTTAAACTTTGAAGTACTTAAACATCCATTGTTATTATGTTATCATGTGTAGTACATTGTATAGAATGAGAAATGTCTAGACCTGTTTCAATTGTCATGTATAGTATTCTGCTTTCAGTTTCTTGTATTGGGTGCTTTATATAGCAGCAAGGATTACCATGTTTTGAGACCTATTCTTTTTCATGAAAAAAAATTACCCCTTCATAGATTCGTGACTAATTAGCTTAAAAAGTTATGGTCATGCTTTATTATAATGGTGCAAATAGAGCCCGTTTTGTAAAATTTCACCAAAATGATTGGATTTGCTCATTTCATAAGCTTGTAGTAAAGTAATTTTTTTGTTATGTTGCATCTAAACGTGGACCAATTATCTTAAAATGTATTGGAAAGGAAGTTTTATAATGAAGCAATCCATTATATTAGTGTTATTTATCGTCCTTTCCTGAATTCCATTATGTAAAAAATCTTGCACCATTTTTGTAAGGTTGAATGGTATATGGTACCTATAAAAAATGAAGGTACCATATCTATCATATATTTGATCGGTCCAAGTCATTATTTCATCAATTGTTCCTGTTTAATTAAATTGCAATATTTTAATTGGTCTATGTGGATCCTTGAGGATACCATAGAATTTTGCCTTTTTGTAATTGACAGATTCCGCCAATAAATCAGTGTTTGGTTAAAAAAAGTGTATGAAAGAAATTCGGGTCGGTAAGCCAACAAAATTGGAGTAACCAAAAGTAGCCCAAGACAAGGAGAGCCCAAGACTGTGTTGGCTGTGCATATACTAATATACTATGTTTGATGATCTATAAATGCAGGATGGCGAGCCAGCCAGCAAACACGTCGAAGCCTCCAACTGTTAATATGAAAGGGCAGCCAGTTGCACAGAACAGTGGTTGCTGCTCTTCCTAAGGGTAGTATACCCCTCCTAGTTGATCAGTGATTATTGTGATACAATGACGACTAATTGGATCGCTCCCAACTTTAAGGCTTTGTTGATTCTTCAACATTTGTTACTTCAATGTTATGTGTATTCTGAGTTAATATTGAAATATTGCAAAACAATAATAATGGTAGGGATTACATACTTGTATGACAAAACTGTCTTTCGTTGATATCGGCAGGTACCCCTGGTCTCAAATTCTAAAGTGCCATAAGGCGGTCGCAGGCCTAACTACACGACGGTTGTCTATTAAAAGTAACATTTACGACATTACATGTCAGGTGGTGCTACCTCGGGTCCAAAATAATAGGATTGTGTCAACAAAAGTGGCCAAATATGTGTCAATAAGATTTTACACTGTTGGTGTGTGACTTCTCCGAATCTCCGATACCATCATACCAACGGTTCGATACCACAAAATCTAAGTCGTTTGCAAATAAATATCTCCAAGTGTAGATGCGTCCAAGTACTTTCTTGTATTTCCCCAAAATCTACTAACAGAAGCCCCAAATCCTTATTGATAGAATTTATCTCCTATGTTCATAGGTGAAAGCTAAAAAAAAGTTCATAGTTGAAAGCAAATTCAGGATGTTTTTTACACAAAAATGTTTTAAAACTGTGAGGCGTGATAAGACATTATTAAGACTAATACGCACAATTAGGATAAAGCCTCCAAGAACTAGGTTCAACTAGGGGTGGACTCGGGCCGGGCCAACCGGCCCGGAACCGGACCGGCCCGCCACTGTGCAGGCCCGGACCGGCCCGGGAACCGGTTCGTTGGGCGGTTCGGGCCACCCGGCCCGGTGGATTCTCGGTTCGGGCTCGGGCCCTTCAAAAGGTGAACCGGCCCGGCCGGTTCGGGCCCGGGCCGGGCCAATTTTATTTTTTTTTTTGATTTTTTTGAGTTTTTGGGTTGGGCTGGTTATTTTGGGCCATTTGAGGTGGTTAGGGTTGGTTTGGGGGTGAGGGGGAGGGGTGGGGGTTAACTAGGAAAAGCCCAAAAAAAAAAATATACCCGAGGCCCGGCCCGGCCCGGACCCGGGGGTTACCCGGGCCGGTTCCGGGCCTCCCCTTCTTGAACCGAGGCCCGGCCGGGCCCAGGCCCGAACCGGGCCCGAACCGGCCCGAGTCCACTCCTAGGTTCAACACCTCCTCAACCTAGTCAATAAGTAAACCTAAGTTTTGATAAAAATTAGGTTAATCTAAGTGAGCCTAGATTCATGCTCTTTGAAAATAAGTAAGGTGAAACCTAGTTTAATGTAATAAATGTTGTTTGGATGTATGCTTGGACTCGGGCCGGGTCGGGCCCGGCCGGGCCGCCAGTTCCATATGCTTAGGCCTGAGACCAGTCCGGGTCTTGACCGGTTCCGGTTCATTTTTTTAATTATTATTTATTTCACCCCCACCCCCCATCCCCCCAACACCCCAAACCCCTCGGAAATACCCAGCCCAGCCCAACTAAACCCAGCCCAAACCAAAAAAATTAAAAAATAAAATAAAATAGGTCCGAACTGGGCCCGGCCCGGACGGGCCGGTTCTCCTTTTCCCTTACCCGTGCCCGGAATCGGTAGACACCTCGGGCCTAGGCCCGAACCGGAACCGGATCCGGTTTCCCAGGCCGGGCCGGTCCCGCACAATAGCGGACCGGGTGGCCCGCACCGAGTCCAAGCCTATTTGGATGAAGGTATTGTATCTTATTTTATGTTGAAGGAGAACTTAACCTCCAAAACCCCCCACTTCGGAGGTTCTTTAATTTGAGGTGTTTTTCAGGTTCTCGGGAGTTATGAGAGGTTAAGTCATAACCTAGGTTCTTATTCCAACAACCTAGGTTAACTCCCAAACAAACAGGCCATTAAAGTCGAGGCATGACAATGCGTCTTTAAAGTCCAGGCATAGCAAAGTATTTTAAACTTTCATTAGTAGCTATGATGTACTACCTCCATCCCGCTATGATTGTCCCATTTTACCTTATCGGTCCGTCCCACTAAGATTTTCTCATACCAAATTTGGTAAAGTTTGTGCAGCTTTAAATCATTCTTACTTTATTCTTACTTTATCAATTCAATATCAATCACATAAACCACTTTTTATTAATTTGTGTGCCGTACGTCCTCTCTTGTCTCATTGTTAGCGGGACAGAGGGAGTAATATTTTAAATAATGACATATAAAGAACAAAAAATACACAAGTTTGAGCACACTTTTTAATTTCTTGAGTATAGGTTTCAAGTTGATGGATAGTCTACCCGGGGGTATATATCCGAAGGGTTATTACGGGGAATAACTTAGAGAGAAGTCAGAGCAAACAAGTAAGAGAGAGAGTGTATATTCGATATGTATTAAGCGTGGTTACAAATGGGGAAATGGGGTGCTATTTATAGTAGCAATAAATGCCGGGCAGGGACACGTGTCAAGCGCCCATTGGCCGAGGGGTCACCTCAACTGGTTGGCGCTGGCAGCCGCATGTGGCCGCATTTAATGCGGCTGTTGGATGGGACGTCTGTGCGGGGTACGGTGATCTGTACGCATGTGAGGCGGATATCTTGTCGAGTGAGATGCCTTCGGCTATAAAGCAGTAGCCGAGGGCTCTTCCACCCGATGGCACCCCCTGGTGCCGAGGGCTCACAGTTTTCGCCGTTTTCTCCCAGTTTCTTAGTTTGCTTGAGAAACCCGCTCTGTGAGAATTTGGAGCCTTCGGCCAGGGGGCCAAAGGCACCCCTGTGCGTTGTGCGGACTGCTTGGTACTCCGGGCGCTGTGATTTGGGCCTGTTGGGCCTTTTGGGCCTGTTGGGCCTTTGCTGGAGTAGTAGGAGTCTGTGGGCCGGGGGTTCCCGGGCCATATACTCCATCAGGAGTCCCTCACTTCTTTTGCCGAAAGGTACTTGAGGGAAAAGGAGTAATTTGTGCTTGCCCTTTGATGTTGTCCCGTTGTGATCTCTGAAGTTGGTGAGGAGTTGTTGCTTTTATGTCCCTGCCGAAGGCAGTCCCTCAGTTACCCACATGTCGGGATTTAATGGTTTTCCCGAAGGGGTCCTCCAGTCCCCCACTCCTTGAGGCACTTGTAAAGTGGTGAAAAGGAGTAAAGTAGTTACGTTGCCGTTGTGAGCAGAAGGCTGACGCTTTTCGTTTCATTTTGGGGGGATGCCTCGTTAAAAACCTCATTAGGAAAAACCCTTTGGGAAAAAATCCTAATGAGGGAAAAAGAGTGCACCGAATTCCCCCAATGATGAATCGAAAATGTCAAACCTTGGTGAAAAATGGAGAATGATGGGAATGCCGAAGGCTCTCTCTTCTGAGGGCTCCTGTGTTGATTAGCCGAAGGCTTGCTGTTGATGTCCTGGTGGTGCCGAAGGGGAGCCCCTCAATCCAGGGATCGAGGGCCTGCCAGATGAGGGCAGCAGTGAAGTTGTTACCGGGGGGTCCACTGTTTGTTGATGAGTTGGTGATAAAGATACCCGAGGGCTCCCATTACCTGTGTGCCATGGGCCATCCGTCAATGAGGCACTCCCCGGGGGCTGCCCGGTTTTGTAGTGTTGAGGGGGAAACCCCGAGGGGTGCCCTGATATGCAGCCCTAGGGATCTGAAGGAGTGATCCCGAAGGCGTGTGTAATGTGCTGTGTGGGGCACAACCCGGGGGCACTTCTGGGTGAGTGCACCCGGAGGCAATCCTTGATGAAGTGGAGTGAAGTAGAAAACCCGGGGGCTTCCGGAATGTAGCCGTTGGAAATATAGCCGTTGGAATATGTAACGACAGGATATAGCCTTTGGGAGGATGGCACACGTGGCGTGTGATGGCTGGCTGTTCGTGGGCGGCGTCACCGGTTGGGTGAAACGACGGTGCGTAATGATGGCGTCCATCCGGAGGCCCGGAATCCAGGCCCAAGCCCGGATTCTATCGCCTATAAATACCCCAAGGCCAGGCATTCCTCCGTGTGCGAAAAACTTGTTAGCGAAGCTCTGCCAATTTTTCTAGAGAGAGAAACAGCAGCCCCCGGTTGAATCCTTTGTTCTCAAGGTCAGTGCCCCGCTCCCCTCTCAAAGTTTTTAGTAAGTTCCGCCCCCTGGCCTTAGATTAGGTTTAGAATCCTGTAGAGAGCCTTCGGAGTCTTAGGCTTATTCGTGATACAAAATGTCGTCCGAGAGCGATTCCCAGGACATCTCGAGGACGCCCTCGATGGAAGACGAAGGTATCTCCGATGCGGAGTCTAGTAGCAGTCAGCCCTCGGGTGGTGATGCAGCTCTCGCCACCGAGATGCAGAAGGATTTGGCGGCCGAGGTCGAGGCGGAGGAGTTCGAGCGAACTGTCGAAGATGAGGAGTTAGCCCTCGCCGTCCAGATTGTTGAGGAGGAAGAGGAGAAGGAGAGGGCGAAGGTCACTGTGGCCGTCCTTCCCCCTCGGGGTGCTGGTGAGGCCAGTACTTCCCAGCCGCTGAATGCAGTTCCCATCCGGGTGGCCCCCGGGAAGAAGAAGAGGAAGACGAGGGCTGGCCCCCAGAAGAAAGTAAGGGCCGTCGATCAAGGGGGGCCAGTTGATCTACCAGAGGGTTACTCCTTCCTGGACACCGCCGCTCTGGAGATTAAGTCCCAAGCTGATAGGGCGGACATCTACATCACCCAATTTCACGTAGGGCCCTCGGCCGTAGTAGTCGAGCCGGGTCCTGATGACGTGCTATCCCGGCCTCCCGAGGGATGCATAGCCGTGCACGTGCTCTCGGTTTCAATGGGCCTCCGATTCCCTCTCCATCCGTTCCTTCGGGAATACCTCAGGTACACTGGCCTGGTTCCCTGCCAATTGACCCCCAACAGCCATTCATACATAGCTGGGTTTGTGAACCTGTGCACACTCCGGGGGGTTACACCGAGCTTGGAGTTATTCTTCCATAGCTTCAACCTATGCCGGGGGGGGGGGGGGGGGGGCACACCAATGCCGAGGGCTATGCGAACTTATAGCAGATAGCCCAGTTCAAACTGTTCACCGAGGCCCCTTCTTCCAACAAGGGGTGGAGAGAGCGATGGTGCTACATCAGACTGGCCGACAGCCCTTTCCCGAGGGAGTTGCGGAATTGCTTTCGGCGCCATGTGAAGGTCAAGAGTGCCACCCTCGAGAAGGATGGTCTGAAGATTGCCAAGATTCCCGAGGGTCGGACAAAGAACGTAACCATCAAGGAGTGCACCCTCGAGGAAGACCTGTATGCCCTCGGATTCCTGAGGTATCGGTTCATTGGGGAGACCGATGAGAAGTATCCTCTCTACGATAAAGCCTTCGTGGGAGCAGGAGGTAGTGGCCGGGGGCTTTGCATTTTCGTACTTAGAGATTTTTTGTTATGTTTGTTGTCGTGTCTCTGACCCCTCGGTTCTAACATTTCAACTTGTTGCTGTCGTTCTTTGCAGGTAGCAGGATGAATGCCAACGCCTTGTTCGCGAAGAGGAAGGGCAAGACCCAGCAAAAGGAGAAGGGGCCCTCGGGCCAAAAGCCAGTTGACGCGCTTTTCCCGAAGGTCATAGAGCCTTCCGCCGGGGACGCCCATGTTGCTGTGGGGACCGGGGGGTCGAAGGCCGAGGCGGCCGCTAAGAAGAAGAGGAGCGACAAGGGGGTGGAGCCCCCCACCAAGAAGCAGAAAGGCGCCGGGGGTGCTGTCGGGGGCGGCGGCCCCCCTCATAGTTATTGATGACATGCCCGCCGTTGATGAGCCTCTGGCCTCGGCCCCCCCGAAGGATTCGGTGAATCCCCCCGGGCGGAATCACCCCGGGAGATCCGTCAGCTCTCCTTTGCCCCTGGCGCTTCATTGATGCACGGCACTGCCGAGCCGAAGGCCTTCCTGCGGGGCATTACCTCGAAGATGGACAGGGAAGTCTTCGAGACCTACGATGACGATGCCCTCGAGAACAGGATCCTCCGGTCCTCGCTCACTGTAAGTATCCGCTTCCTT